TATCACATGTCGATTAAAGGGGGCTTACAATTTGAATCCAACTCTAACAGTTATTGTTTTCATCAGAAAAATGGATTACAGGTAACCAACCAGAACTAACTGAGATCTGATTAATTAATTTAGCATTTGAGGGTCACACCATTAGAACCGAGCTTACGTCGAAGTATACCTCCAAAAGGCCTCAGTATGGTCCGGGGTGGATGTCTAGGTTTGCAGCTGGTCATCCTTCCTTCACACCTCGCGAAATGCTCCATACTACCAAGCGTCTCAACTGGCCTATGCTGAGGAAGCCTTATTCATTACCTTCTCGTGGCCACGGTTCTTCCTTACCAAATTGAGAGGACGAAAAGCCGACGTCCGGGGCTATAATCAGGTTGGTGGACCACTGGTAGTTCACCTAGGGGGGTTGGGCAAAAACCTTGATTCCACACCAACCAAGAAGAGGCGTACGAACCACACTCATCCACACTCTCCTCGGTGTGGCAGTGGTCACCGGCTCGATTGAGCATTGAGGGCACCTTGGACGTTTGACCCCGTCCAAAGGGTTTATGGTCCGATGAACTGGACACCGTCCCCCAATGGATTGCCGGTTTCGCACACCGCCCCGCTGCCTTGCGGGTCAGGCTTTGGCTAGCCGAAGGTTCCGGTTATGGATTCTTAAGGAAAATTCACATACATCGGCCCGGAAAACCTGGCAGTATTCCTCCCACATGCAACTCATGGAACTTTTTTATTTTTTATAAAGATTATTGTACCATAATTTGTTTAGCACACAGTCTGAATTCAGAAATGTGTGAAAAAAACTTTGAAGTCTTTCCCCGGAAAATTCACAGTCCGTGTATTGACCTCTTTTAACAATTTATCATCGTACATCGCAGTAGCAAATTTCACATTGAGATCAGATTGGATACATCCGGGTCCTTACAGTGTTTCCAGGGATCAGTTGAAGAATGGTATTCAGCGGGTAATGAGGGAAACATCCTTTATGTATGTAAAATGAATGCAAAAGTTTGGATAAAAAGTTCACAGTTATTTAGAGTATCAAGCTTAGCTTAGCCTATTCGATTGCTCAGAGGCACCAGGCACTCTTGGTGGTCTTAGGTGTGGGTTTCCCTCCTTGGAGTAAGTTTCATGACTTGTGATTGGGCGATCGAACATCAACGGCCCCTGTATCCTGCGTACCCCTTTGAAGCACTCACATACGTCAATTACGATAGCAGACATCACACGCATGCGCAGTGCAACACTGATGGGCGAAGTACAATTGGCTCTCAAGTACACGGAAATGATTGAAGAAGTCACTACTGGATCGTTTCCAAGGCCCTCAATTATCAATAGCTGAAGTAATAATTCCAACTTTTCATGTGTAAGATTTTAATAGAACCTGGGAAATGCATATTGAACACTATTCTGTGGTCTCGCGATAATCGGTCCCACAAAATCAAGGTCTCGGAGATGACCCAAGTCTTACTTTGGATGTTCAATCTCTGATCATTCTGTAATCGATAGAGCAGAGCTTTCGGGGATTTATCCTGGCTTTGTTCGTAGGACTTGAGCTGGGCGCGGAGACAAGCGTTCACCTCAGTGTACCGCCGATTGAGTTTGTCCATCCCCAGTAGTTTCATTGCCCATGGAATTCGATCCAGTATGTATAACCTGATAAAAGGAGTAGAACATGTTTTGGGAATGTCATTCTTGTTTTTATCGTCAAAAAATAACCTTCATTATTATTTGTCAAAAACAATCACCCATTTTAGACTGGGTATTAAATAACTGGCTCAGAAAGAAGTGATGACACACAGGGCTGTTTCTTACCACTGTTTGGGCATTAATTGTATCAATTGAAGCATACTGTTCTCCGTATTGTTTGTACTGATCTGGTCGAGCAAATGTTCTATCTGTTCTCGCGTGAGATCACATGATCGTCCGAATACAATTTTCCACATAATATTCCAAACAGTGTAGCGAGCCAGTGGCCTGCAAACGAAGCACCAAAATGTCAAACAGGGTTTTGCTTAAGCCAACTGATAGCAAAACGGACAGAATAGGAGTCAAGAAAGGCGTACTATCAGCGAGGAAAACTCATTTGCCCTGTTTTACCATACATAGATCCACACCTTTACAGAACCTCGGTTCAGTATTTCACAGAGATTTTTATGCGTCGTGTTAGTAACGTCAACCTGCTTCTGATTAGATCTAGTCTCCCTCTCTGGTTTTGAGCAATGAGAAAGGGCATAGAAAGTCATTTCATGTATGATATACATCTAAAAGTACTGTGATCAACTAATGGTAAAGTAAACGGGGACGGGAGTCTAGAACAGTACTCTGTTCCATTCATTTGCGTTACATAACTTTTCCTAGACACAAAGGAAGTGATTCATTTTTGAAGTCTTCGGATCCAAATTAGCATTTGTGATAATTGGCAACCTAAAACGCGAGGACTTGAACGACCAGTTCACATCGGGTCACGGGGCTTTCGACATGAAAATGAGCTGGACGATCGTGAAGATTTACACCTTCCGACTGATCGGCAATAGATGGAGCGTTTGACCTCAGAGCATGAGGAACTATGAATCATAGTTATTGTGAATTAACCTCAACCGTATTTTGGATTTTCTAATCAACTTTACATGCGCATTTACGAGCATATATGATGAAAAATTATCCGTGATATCATTTATCAATCTACCGTACATGTCATTGAAAAGGGACAAAAATAAGGGAATGTGAATACCTATCATGTTGTTATTATAAATAAATCTCCAGCAGTGTTTTCTTTTTCTGACTGAGGTTATCTCTGCTCGGGTCCGGACATGAATTATGCACCCGTCATTACGTTTTCACAGACTCTGACTCTGACAGATGCCTCTCATCATGCATGTGAATAAATGAGTTTTGAATGAAAAAAAGAAACTACGGTGGAGTTTCTCACGCGACGGAAAACCTACCGCCAATAGAAAAAAAGTATAGTTTGTTGCGTCAGGTTAAACTAGGGGAAAATTATGATACATTGGAGTAGTTGAAAGAAAACTGGGGTAAACGTAGTGTAGTGCGTGTGACATCGACCGTATTTCGGTAGCCGAGTAAAATAGAATTATACCAAACAGAAACCTTCACAGATCGAGAATCGATGGAGTTATAATACCACATTTTATATGGTGGATTGCGTCGCTTGAAGAGCAAATGAAGCAGCTGGACTTGAATGTTTCCAACTAAGTCATAACCCTGGAGGCTTGTGCTGAGATGAGCGAGGCACGATGTTCGCAATAAGCTCCCAAAGATGTTTTGCTGTATCCTGCATGTCCAAAATAAAAACGTTCTGATCAGTTGTAGGTTTTATGTTCGCGTTCTACCTATGAGGTCATGTGTTTGATTTCCAGTTGGGACGATGGATTCGCACTACTGATGAGACCGAATCTGGTCGAAACAGCCGTTCAGCGATTCCTAGCTTTGCAATTCACGCTTTGTTTACTCTGGAAATGATGAAGCTCACTATATGGTTGGCACAAATCCTCCAATTAAGGGAAATAACTACTTTATAAAAAAGATTATTGATTGCAGAAGCACGCAATGATACGAAGGATCTTTGTAACATCGTCTTTACAACAGATTTTACACGTCTCCATGTCAAATAAGCACATGATTTGGGAGGTAAAACCAATCCAAAATCACAGTCCATATCTAGCTTTACCTTCGCAATCTGATTTGAAAATACATTAGGAAGCAATTGTCTAAACAATCACTGTCTTGAGGTCAGCTCCATCGAGAAGACTGAATGTTACATACACAATTGAGATTTTCAAAAAGAATTTTCCACGATAACATGGTTGTATGAAAGTACATCAAGGAATATGCGAGGACGACTGTTATGAATGGACGATATTAATTCAGCAGTTTATTCTGTTCATCACAAAATGTAATCTCAAGAGTGGAAAAAACTCATAAGACTGCACCACAATGTGATGCACAATCTTCAGCGGTATGCATCACTTACAAGACATCCGTTGGAATACCGCAATTGTTCTTTAAAGACAGAAGAAGCCGTTTTGTTTCCGCTTGAACCGTATCACGGATCTCCGATGTGCTTCCATTATCCCCTAAGTAGTTGATCATATCTTCATATCCGTATAGATGACGAAAGAATGCCAACCTTAGCTCGAGTGCCCTCGGTGTGTCGTAGTTGGAAATGCCTATTTGGACGAAGGTAATCGATTGTTGATTTGTGAAGAATCGGAGAATCACAAGCAAATTGATCAAATAAGTCAATCAAATATTTGAGTTTCACTGTCAAATGTGGACAGCTTATTCTGCAAGCAAAATCCCTACCAACTTACCGTCACCTTGCGCCAACCAATGATTTGTAGTAAGTGTGTATCGACCGATTTGGGGTCGATGTTTGATCGCTGCTTCGTGCACCATTTCGGACGTGTTCAGTACAACAACCGTATTACCGAGTAGTGTGAAAGAAACCAAATCTCCATATTTAACTTTCAGCTTCTGCATTTCTTCAAACCCATTGGCGCCTGTTGGGATTGAGAGATGTAGAGAGGGAAGGAACGGGAAATAAATAGGCTGAATGACAGGCACAACGAGATAGAGAGAGACATTTAGACACATCAATGTATATGAAGCGCCTTAATTGCAACATAGGAAATAAAATCCGATAGGCGAAACAGGCTGTGTTTTCAACTGGGTAGTTCCATTTATACAGGTAAGTCATTCAATATTGTTAGATCCAGAGCGATGAGGATCTCATTGAACCATGCACAAAGCAATCCTACATGCGTCACCGTTTGGATTACGCCTCCCCCTTGGTTAGGACGTTTTCCCCCAATTATTATCCAAATCAATACACTTTGTCCGACTGTGTACGGCTGGAGCAAACGGAAACAAATTGTTTGCCCTACCCCCGCGCCCGTTACGCAACCAGAAGCGTTTCGTTCATACATAATCTCTACCCCGGCCAGTTGTCAAGTGAAAAACTCACTGTGGTAACTGGAAGAACATGCCAATGTGACGCGAAGTGAATGTATCCATTTTTGGGTACTCAAAATGCACCCTCCCCTAGTGAAGATTATTTAGAGTATTCAAATCCTCTGATCAGATATTGAAGGTGAAGGTGGCAAGTAACATCCGGTCCTGAAGGTCTGACTTATGCTGTAGCTCATTTTCTTGAAGTACATAATAAATATCACTTGAATCCCCACTTCTGCGTGTATGACTATTCGAAAATTGATTGCACAATTTCAAATTCATTCATGTGAAAGAAACCAATAATCATTTAGGTTGTGGTTCTGTATTTGATAAGGACTATTTGGATTCGTTGAATTGATAGTTCTGTTTGGAGTCAAAGTTCCATCAGTGCACCTTTTCCCCTAGTTCAGTTTTATTCATATTTGGTCAAAAATACACATTCGTAATGGTTCCGCCCGGGTACATTTTGTCCTACTTACGGAGAATAGAACTTCACCTCACGCGATGGACTGGTTTTAGCGGAAGCTTAAAATAAACTTATGAGTGCACGAATGAGAATCGAAAGCGTAAGGAGGAGTTCACAGGATCAATTCATGAACGGATATGAGTGAATAGATTCCCGCTGTATAATACACCAAGCATAACGTGTACAGATTAGTGTAGGAAACAAAATAGAAAAAAGTAACCACGCCTGGGACAAACATTACAAAAGCGGTTACAGTCCAGGTTACCGAGACAAGCGGTGTAACCAATCCATGGTAATCCATAGGGTCCGGGGGGAAGTACATAGGCTCGGATGAACGGGAGTCCACGAAGCCACCAAACGAATCCGACAAAACAGGCGAAAAGACCAAGTTCCGGTAGAGGGTGTCGAAGACAGCCGGCAAAGGTTGATTCGTGCATTGTCTCAGAGCAATGCTTAGCCTGAAAAGTGAAACCGAATTAGAAAAATGTCAACTTAGTGTTGCGTCCAAAGAATTACAAAGAGGAGCACAGGCACAGGCACCACTAGGACAGTGGTTTTATGTGGAACGAGAAATCCTTCTGGTGAATGGATTTGGCGAAATCGAGTGCGCAATCGACAGAAGCAATGCTGACTAATTCGCACTTTCTTACTCCGTTTGAGGAGAGTCTCTCGTCACAGAAATCACATGACCGCGGGCATGGATTGCAATTGATTCATTTTGGATTAGTATTCAAATAAGGATTCAAGTGCTAGCTAGGTCAAATGAAATAGGTGTGCTGGTTTGTAGTCCGTGAGTACTCTCAGGCAGAAGAAGTAGAATTCAAGGTCACCCAATAGCCTAATTCCAAGACCTGATATAACTTGTTATCACANNNTTGGAGCTTTTGGAACTCACACATTTGCCACGAGGAACGTTCTCTCCCGAGTAGGGAAGAGGTGTAGCGAAGTGAATGATGATGCACCAGCAACATCTTTATCATCAACATTAAGTTATTTTACAGATGAATGAGACTTGGGTTTTGCTTACCTTTGATTACATTTATTACAAACAAAAGATATTACTCCCCAGCGATGTGGAACGGCATTTACTCCATAAAACCGCCAACAGTGCTTACTTTAACAGTGCTCTCCCGGTCGCTCCACCGGCCATGTGCAGTGCGGTAATGACAGTGATGATTGAACTCCAATACTTCATCCTTTTTCCATTCTCCTGACGGTCAAATCTCTGTACCATGTAAAAAACACTGACCGAACTGGTGCAACATTACACCTGACCTATTCCATATGAACGAATATCGCAGCGGTGCTAGAGGTGTCTCGCGTTGGTAAATACCAATGGAACCCGGGGTATGCCTACCGAAATTTCATTCGTAATTAGCCACCAACATTATCCACACTCTCTGTTGCCTCTATTCTCAGTTTGAGAGTTTAATTAGGACCTACTGAATCTTTTATGTGCACTTTACTCCTTCAAGTTGCAACGGGCATGTTGAACAGAGGCAAGCCAGGATTCAAACCATCCAGAATGGTTTACAACTTGCCCAGCTCTTCGCTGATCAGTATGTTGTCCACTGCCAGTAGGTCTGATTTGAGAGGAAAAAATTCCAAGGAATAGGCTTCTATATTCCCTGAGTCTGTTCGTGGTGGCATGGATACGCGTCTGCAGCAAAGAATCAAATACCAGTATGGCGCATTGTACAAACACGGTCTGGCAAACAATTTCGGCATGAATAACTTATAATTCCGATGCTTTCAAGCTTAAGGTCTAGTTGTTAGACATCTTACCGAGTTATATTATAAATGAAGCAGTCACGTGAGACGTTTAATTCTTTCTATTCGGAAACCGATTGTCGTTTATGAAAGGCAAAATATCGGGTGCAACGCCAATCCAATACCATAGACACTCATACAGTGTGTCCAATAGCAACTTTTTAAAGATTTTTTGACAAAAGAAGCTTGATACCAATCTTCATTCTGACTGTTGAGTAAGATTCCTAGGAATAAATAAAGTCCTATCATTTGAAAGAAACACAATTCAACTTTCCTTTTTTTGGAATGGATGGTGGTAGATCGAAAGCCCGCCAATGAGACGCTGATATTACTCCTGAATGTGCACTTTATGCTGCAGGTTTATTTAGGTCGATTAACCTGCTGTTCTTCGCAGAATCACAATCATATCGACTGATTGGAAACTATAACAACTTGACTAACAGCCCTGTACTAATCATCGTTTCGAATGGTCGTGATGAAATTCCTGGATCAGAGATGAATTTGGAACGGTACTTCACGGACCAGCTAAGTCATGCAGATTAGCCAACGGAGTGTACATCACCATTTATATTCTACTGTTTGGTGTAAAGTTCCAGATGTGATTGAAGACTACAACGACGAGATGCCATGGTAGGTCTGAACAGGATGTCGAGCGAGGAACGGTCAGTACTGATTAAATACACCAACTAAAGATGGCATTCGATTGAGTAGCTACAGAGCATACTCAAATTTTCCGGCGCTAGAGTGATGTACGATAAATTTAAATTTAATTTTGTACCATATCAATCTGATGTCTGAATTGGACATCTCATGCACATCCACACATGCGTCCAACATTTAAAACAACTAGAATTAGAGGGAGTATGCGTTTCAATGTTTGTTTTTTATCAGGACCGGGAATTGTGCAATGGCCAAAAAAGAGCGCTGAGCAGCCAAAGGCTCCTTGCTCGAGATCATCAGTTCAGGATGAGGGTTAGATTTATCTGCCAATCGGAATCAAATAGCAAATTTTCCTTGGTATACTGGAAATCTTGTCCTCTAAACAGCTCAGTTTGAGGCGAAAAATCTAAGTAGATGAGTAGATGAGTTGAACCTAACAACATTTTATGTTTTCGTACTATACTACGTACAACAGTCACGAAGCAATGTCTTCCCTAGTCATTTTTTTATAAAAGGGGAATTAGATGATGATCTTCTAACGTTGAAAAAGATAATCCACCGGTAAAGTAACCAAGTGAAATCACTTCTCACTTAATACAGCTCACTTTGGTAATTTCGTGTGAAACGTTTCACAATCAATACACATTGTCACATCTATCACTTCTACACTTTACTGTTTTTTTAATTGCATTTCAGTCTATCAGATACATCCACCACAATTACCATCAAAGTACCAATGGAAAGCATTATTTACAGACTATTGGGGTTGGTAAAGATAGACGGTTAGACGTACTACACATTCCAGATGTTCTTCGTTGACCATGTAGCCCAGAAATAAGCATTTCTACTCCCCATTCACAGATTTGAGATTAAAGTCCGGTCAGGGGCACAAAAATAGCAGGCGCTGTTGATAAATCCCAGAAACAACAAAAGAGTTGTCCTGTGTGACCGCAAGCATACAATTAGATCATAGTACAAATGCACGTAGACTGAAACAGCCCAAGGAGATCAGTAAGTGATAGGACGTTCGCTCCTTCTTTGACCACTGACTCTCACACTTGAAACGAGTTCCAAACAGAGAGATGTTATCGAAGTTTAGTCTACAAGGATAAAAGGACTAGATAGCTGCAGCATTTGAAAGGTGAACGCCCACTAACATTTGGCACATAATGATCTTGGTTATTTACGATAAAAGTAAATCATTTACAATATTCCAGTGGTTAAACATAATAACCGTTTCCAAAAGATTTTCGCACAACACCGTGTTAGGTGGATCACGCTGTCAGATCAATGACTCATCGTTCTGATTCATCCAAGAAGAGTCTGACAATTTAAAACCAATACTCTTAATAAAAATTGCAAGTAGATTGACTCTCACCTCCGTGGACAGAGGTCTCTTCTACTTCCAGGCACCTGTTCGGCAAATGCCACTCTTTATTGTAAAATCAGATTGAAATTACCTATACTGTTCGGTATTTAGAAGACTCGGACGGGTTGTGGTACATCTGATTTTCCAAAAATATACTAAATATTTTCAAAGAAGAAAAAGCTAATCTTTTCGGTCTACATGACTTCAGATAAAAGGCCAAGAGGACTGCTCCCAAACGCTATCAAATTGTTTAGCTTTCAGCCTACAGGAATCCGTTGGTTCTCTACAACTGCTCTTAGTAGAAAGTTATTTTTGTCGTTGTGAAAACTAATACACTTATTACGTGGTTAGATGACTTCGCGTTTGGTCTCAAGGTAAAGATTTTTTGTTATTGCTTAAAATTGTTGGATGCGAGAACACATGTGTAATAATGGAACGTTGACACATGTTCGAGTCTGAACTCAGTCCATCTAGTCACACGAGTTCAGATCTGTCCAAATCCGATCTGGCGAAACCTGTACTGTAGTTACACATTGATATGAAATGCATTTAACGACATATTAAAAATGACCTGCCTTATTGACTAATAGTGGTGAACAAAAATCCCGGAACACTTTCATGCTTTCTCTGTCTGGCCAATGGGCTAGGGCAAACAAGGTTTTTTGTCGTGTTCCTTTGGTCCCCTAATGAACCTTTTCCATCAAGCAGTGCTGGTAACTGACTCAATGAGGCTGATTTTGGAACTAGATGTATGCTGAAGGATAACACTGTGAAACTAATCACTTTGGCCATGAAACTTGCGTTACTGATTCGTCCACTGTGTTCCTTCTGTTCATTTCAGTAACATTATGGATGCTAAACCGTTCTGTGTGTGGGGGGGAGGGCTCTTCATGGTGAGTTCCAAGGCTGCGAACCCCGTTCACACACACACACAAACACACACCCAACCGACAAATTGAACCTCCTAAGACGCTCTCGTGTTTATCATATGAGGACCGTTAAATACAATTAACAAGCATTGATCAGTCGGAGAAAGAGTATATAAAAATTTGAATTGACAACCAGTATATCATTCATTGTCTTTCAAATAATTGATCGAGTTTGTGATTTTACCGCCACAAAGAGTACTTCCGACCGAAACATCTGGTCAAATGATTAGAACAAGAAGACTATCGGTTTAAGGCGGTGGTGGCCAAGTGCTTAGGCCACCAACTGGTGATCTGGGGGTCCCGGGTTCGAATCGCTCCACCGACTCCCGTCTTCCAAGGCAGACTTCGTGTGACCCCGGTCCCCCTTCCTGAATGCTGACTCTACATTTGTGCATTCAATAAAATAAAAAGGAGGTAAAAAATACAAAATACACAAATACATAGACACACACTCTCCGACTTCATCTTGAAGCGCAGTCCTCAGTTCATCCAGTAAATCATACACACAGGAAGCACTGGGCTCGAGTTTCGCTCTTCTTAGAGCTTATCAGTCAGCACTGCATATTTATCATCCCATCCGATCCTCGAATTCCAAAACCATCGTATGACAGACGTATGAGTTGCCGCTGTGCAAATCAGATCAAATAACGGTTCACTCGAATTTCCAATTAGTGTTTGTTCAAATAACATCTACCAGTTTCTTCTAGGC